TTACTTGTATCGCATGTCGTTGCGTTGTTTGAGCCCGAGACTCGTTGCTTTCAACCGTGACTGTTCTTGCCCAACACATCTAAAAATGATAAACGTTGAGTGTTTATAGGCGAAATAGGGGCAAAGATGGTGTAGCGGCAAAAGACATTGCTTCCCACGCTCGTGGTCTGAGGGTGGAACCACAGATTGACCAATTTCCAAGCCAACGAACCCTCTATCCCCTCCCTGAATTTAGACTGGTGGAGTTTTTCTCTTGGAGGTGAAAGACAGACATTGACTGACCCTCGCAAGACATTGTAATGACTATCTCGCATTTAATAAGCCATTGCGATTCTGAATGTATGCGGATGAGTGGGTCATCCCAAAAAGGCTTAGCCATTGCCGAGAGCTGCATTCTTCAGTTTTTATGCTTTCTGCCGGCGGAATCCCCAAATGTGCGCTTATAAAGTACGCCCATTTTATATAGTGGTAATGATTTGCTGAGAAATTTCGCTGTGAACGTCAACTTTCGCTGACACACGATCTGTCATATTTCTGCGCCCCTGTTAGAATACCTTCCTTTTTCACAGAGGCAGGGCACCATTATTAAAAGGAACTGTTTAAGTCAAGATAGCTGTTCATTTGATGTTATGACTTACTCCTCACCTCTTTGTAGGACATTCTTTTTTAAGAAGGTAACCAGATGAAATTATTCAATTGAATAGAAGTGAAGGGGAACAAAATAAAGGACCAAGATTTCTACATTGCTCTGTCCTTCGCGACCAAACCCTCGGCTTGTCCTCGAGTAGGGTTTCGATCGCTTGTAACGAGTTTACTAACGAATTTCATATGTCATACAATATGTCAGCAATATGCAGCGCAATAAATAAATAAATAATTAAATAAATGTGCAGCTACAATCAAGAAATGTAAATCAACACTTCACGGGCGCGGACTAATCAAATACTGGCTAGGGAAATATATACCATTTTCACTTCAAATTCACCCCTTTTCAAACCAAATTCACCCACCTTCCGAATCGAATTCACCCACCTTCCGAATCGAATTCACCACACTTATTAGGCCGCGCAATTCATCAACCAAATCACGCCAGACACTACTGCGGGCCCCGCCCCCTCGGCCACGCCCACTTGCTTTTTGCGGAATTTTGATATTTTTTCAAAATTTTTGCATTTTTGGACTGCTACGTGAAGCCCCGCCCACTGTGAGAGGCTCCGCCCACTTTGAAGAAGCCCCACCTACTTTTGAAAAATGTTGCCAATCAGAGTCTCGGCTGGCATTCTAGGGTCTCGTTCATCACTCGGAACAAGAAAATCAGGCAAAGTTTGTTCCGAATGATCAGCAATACCCTAGCATGCCAGCCGAGACTCTATACTGCCGATTTGCACCATTTTTGAAAAGTGGGCGGGGCTTCTTCAAAGTGGGCGGAGCCTCTCACAGTGGGCGGGGCTTCACGTAGCAGTCCAAAAATGCAAAAATTTTGAAAAAATATCAAAATTCCGCAAAAAGCAAGTGGGCGTGGCCGAGGGGGCGGGGCCCGCAGTAGTGTCTGGCGTGATTTGGTTGATGAATTGCGCGGCCTAATAAGTGTGGTGAATTCGATTCGGAAGGTGGGTGAATTTGGTTTGAAAAGGGGTGAATTTGGTTTGAAAAGGGTGAATTTAAAGCGAAAATTATACAAATGAAGAAAAGACTGCTCAACAGCTCTGAGGGAGACGTATCTTCAAGGAAACCCATCGCCTCAGGCCAGAAATCAACGCGAAAGACGTTCTAAGGCTAATCACGTGTTAACTGAAGATCCATCTGCTCATAGCTTCTAGGCAGTCTTTTCTTCATTTACATTGCCGCTCCAGTCGGCTGGCTCACCCCTTCCCGCCCGTTGTGGATAATGATGTTAACGTTTTGGTTGTAGCTGCATATTGCTGATGTATTGTAACTTGACGGTCTGATGACGGCGTTATGCCGAGTGCCGACCAATAAAAGAAGATTCTATACAGGAGCTTCAAAGCTTTCATCTATATTTGGACTTAAAATAAAATTATAGATCACGTATTTTGGGTCAGTTTGTCCAGGACGGATCGGCAGCTGCATCGGCGTACCACTTCCTCCGCTCATCGTCACCGGCACGGTGCTGGAGGGTAGTAATACCCGGGTACTGTCTCCCACCCGCGCTACCCTCAATGTGCAGCGCTTGCCTCGATTCCGGAATCCCGCAACGAAACGCTCTTTAGCGGTGGAGAACATTCAGAAAAGAGAGAGCTTGGAAAAAATAGCGCTTTTGCTACGGTATGGCGCCTGGCTGGCCGTGCAGCGGTGTGGGAGTGTGTGGGCGGCATCTAAGCACCACTACCCACCCAGCCCTCCGTTCCCGTGCACCTTTGACCCGAGAAAGTGCCCCTGGATCTGTGGGCCTATTCTCCATACACCTGGCAAGAACCAGGATCCACGGACGTGAGCGCGAAGTTCGGTTTTTTTTCTGTACAGCATATAGTATCAGTGATATTTTTCGCTAGGCAAAGCTGACGATGCGTATTTGACAAAGGAGATCTCAATTTCATTTTTCCTGGGAACATTCCTAGGGAAGCATCCAAGAATGGTCTCACCTAGAGGCAAACAATGGCTCCAAATTTCTTATCACTAGCGATGCTTTATGAAGAAAAAAAACCGTGGCTTACAAATAATTGACTCATATAAGCACTCCCAAGCTCTCGCGGAATTCATTCAGTTTCGAGAATAAAAAACATGGAAACCATTTGCTAAGGGTGTATGGGAACGTAGGAGAAATGACTCAGCCACAGGAGGCGCACAACCATTTGCCCGATTGGGGGTCAAATCCCTACTGAGCGTTTCTGTAGCAGTTTCGATTATTGGTGCCAGGCTTGTTCAGAAAGCTTAAAACAGGACTTGAATGTTGATTGACTCCCTCAACTCATTACTTTGTCAAGGACGCACTCAGTCCCAGGCAGAGGTTGGCTGCATGGCGCATCCACGCTTTTGAATAACAACGACTATTCTCTTCTTCTGATTGATCCTTGTTAACGGCCAGTGGACCTTGTCTCTAATCTGAAATGGCTTAATTCCAACGAAATGTGCTGCTTACTACAAATCGTTCGGAGTGACAAGTAGTTTTTTTTCTGTTTTTTTTTCTCACAAGAACCCGTAAAGTGCCTCGCACTGTGCTCCAGTGATATTTGCTTCGTTGCGCTATGAATCTTGCTGCCATGTGAGATAGCTGCAACGTCACTGCCGTTCTTATACTGGTGTATATCGTGCGATTAATTGACAGATGTACGTTTTTCTCTCTGTATCTTGAGAGAGAGATTCACAACGGACTACTGTTTCGCTTTCGCCCCATGTAATTCTGTGGCAAGGGTGCCGAGAACTTTTGACAAGGTGTGCACCCCACCCCATTCGCGGAGACTCCTCCCATTTCGCAGCTGCATCCAACTTTGATAAGACAGGATTAGAGGTGAGGAATCTGATGGTGAAAGTGACGTGCTAGGAGAAAAAGCTGATACAGATAAGGAACTCATCCGAACTCAACCTGCACTCTCGTCGGCCTCGCGCTCATATACGCCTGTAGACAGCAGGGTCTTATTTACGAAGTTGTTGTGTTTTTGTTATTTCCTAATGGACACCCCTCTCAGTACCTGTTTCATGTTGGCGCGACATTAGCCCACTCACACCACGTGCTTTTAAAGGTCTTCCTCATCATCTCTGTTTAGTTATGTACATGATTTAAATAGTCGCGTGCTTACAACTTATCCACTTTGTGAAACAGCTAATCTGTATGATTTTAGTGTTGCATGTCAACGGATCCTATCCATCCAGAAAGGCTTTCAGTGAGTATTTATCATCACTTGCTAAATACTTTCCAACTCTGGTAATCTTGCTATCGGCCAAAATCTTGTATTCTTGCCACTCTACACAGGGTCTGTCGTGTGCTGGAGCTCCCTAGCGAGGGGTCGTGTTTGATCTTCGCAGAGAGCAGAATCATCCCTTCTTCTGAAAGAAATGTTTTCGGTTTTGTTGATATCTTTTGCGTTTCCCCGTTTCACATACGCTATGTACCCTCCCGCTCCATCGACATCCCAAGCTCGACGGAATTTTTTTGGGGAGAAAACTGGAAGCTTTCTGAAAAAAAGAAACTTCAAAGAAGTGGCACGCAGTTACGAGGATTGTGTAGGATGAATGGGGTAGAACCAGAGGAAGAAGTTTTAAGGGCGAGAGTAGGGTCATTGTCAGGTCAAGTTATTTTGCAAAAATTCTCCCTAACGGCAGGATGTGCTCTGATTAAAGATATTATTTTTATTTGTTAACTTTGAAGCTCCTTTTTTCACGGTGTGCTTGGAGGACCTCAAAATAAAATTTCTGCCAGAAATCTTGAATCTTTATAGTTCTCTTTCCCGTTTCTAAAGATTTTCTCACTTACACTCTTTTGACTGGAGAAAAAGTAAACCTCAGGCGGGGTCTTGAGCTCATGGTGAGTATCGCAGTGAAATCTCCAGCTCAGCCTTGCTTATTCACGACGAATATTCAGCACATGAAAACCTCCAAAGGGCTTGATGAAAAGACAAGATATGTGCTTTTCTTCAACAGGCATTTTCCTCTTGAGGGTTCTGTTCAGCAAGATTTTCAAGGACTGTGTGAGGCGTGGTTGAAGCAATTCCAGTGAGGGCGGAATTTAAATGTTCCAACAAAATTCAGAATCATGTGAAAGTGAGGCAGCGAGCTGCCTTCAGCTTGAGGCAATACATATTTCCGTGAAGGTATATTTTTCTACTTGATAGTCCTCCTGTTTGAATAGGCACTAGAAATTCTCGTTCATCTGCTTCTTTTAATAAGTTCTGGAGCGTGATAGCGGAATTTCACAAAAAGAAAAAAAAGCACAGGAAATCAGGGAATTTTCCACTAGGGGGAGGAAGGCGCCCTGTGAAGGGGGAACGATTCGACTGCTCGAGGAATGTACGAGAAGAAGTGCAACTTAATATTACGCAAAGACTGATAATTCAGGACATTCCAGCTGGCATAGTTACTTAAAGCTGCGCTATTTTCGCGGTGCAAAATTAGAGACCATAAAGTTTGCCAAACAATCGTGCACTAGTCGTTACTGCGCCATGCGGTCACCGGGGAGGCAAATGAGCGCGTGATTCCAACGGTGCATCACTTGATTCGCAATAGGTTGAACATTCAATGGAAAAACAATGAACGTGCTTGCTATAAAATATTGTATCAGCTTTGTCTTCTGATCGTTTCTGATGCTGTTTTTTCTGACCATGAGCGCCACCTCAGGTGAAATCCGTTTTCTTACCGTTTTCTTCCTACGGAGCGGTCAATCAATTATTGACCAAGGCCCTTTTCAGTTACTAGTCAACTGTAGACATCAGTACCAAGGGGTACTCGAACGAGTTTTTTAGAGTCAAACTTTCTACAACGATCTCGTCCCTAATTATCACGACATTTGTAAGGAAGAACCTCCTATTTATTTTGCATTTTCGTTAATGAATTGAACTCTTGGCACTGTTACCATTTTCTTACCTCCCTCTCCAAACTCATGCCAGATTTTGATCGAAATTTTCCTTTGAGATTATATTTGGCTAAATTTCTCCTTGGCTAGATTTCTCCCATTGATCCACGCGGCAACCATATCCGCTCGAAAATGCCGGTGTCCACTTCATTGCTTGGTCACCAGTTTTAGCGCCGACACGCGTAGCGCACATAGGAGACGTTTTCGCGGTGAGATAAGCAAATGTGATAGTGGTGTTCACAAGGTCAAACTACCATTTGGTACAAGTTTTCGCGAATTGGTTCCGAGGTGTTTGGGCGTAGCCTGTAGGGACAGGCCTTAGGCTGTTTCGAGCGCAGTGAATCTGTTGTTCTTGTCCAGATGGTCAGACTGCTCTCAGGGACAAAATCTTAGCTGTGTATGCCCCAATATTTTGCATTAGTGTATTGTAATTTAGGTTAGAAGTTTAGTGTATACAGGGGAGGGGCAAAAAAGTCACTTTTCTTCCTTGACTTTCGAAGGCGCTATAAGTTACACTTAATTAAATTCTGATGGACATTTCCACCACCATATTCAACAGCATATTGTATACTATCATGATGCTCCGCCACAGCCTTCTGGACGAGCGCCATCGAGAGATTCTGCCACGCGACCGTGATTCGGTACCTGAGTTCAGCGAGATCGTTGATTTCTCCGCCACTGTAGACCACCCTGTTGAGCTCCGCCCGAAGTAATTGAGGGGTTCAGGTCAGGTGACACACTTGGATATTCCATCTTCTTCAGGTACTCAACTCTTCCATTCCAAGTAGGCGAGAGTTTTTCCAACGCCCTTCGATTCCGTGTGGAGGCACCCAATCCTGTAGCAGTACGAAGTCTCCAAGAAGGTACAGGCGATGACATGAAGGCAGGATATTCTCCACGAGTTGGTCGATGTAACCGTCAGCGCTCACTTCAGTCCGGGGTCCACGAAGAAAATATCGGTCTTCACATTCCAGGAACTTCCGGTCCATACCATCAACCGCGCCTTGGCGACTGCGGTGAAGATGATGTCCTAGACCGTAGCGACGTTGTCGGAGCTGCTCGATGTTGGAGGTCTTCCAGATCAAGAGTACTGGTCTCCAGGTAGCTATCCATGGGTGACTCCATACAAGAAGTTTCGCAGCTGTTTGGAGGTGACGTGAATTCCAAGGCCTTCTCCAGTCAGGCTGCGATTGGAGATGACTTCATATTTTGGTGTACATGAAGGTGATGGGCGAGAGCCAGCTCCTGCTTATCGAGGAACATCTTGGGTATCTTCCGCCCTGGTACTCGTATCCACGTCCTCTGTCTGGGCTGCGAAAACTTTGCTGATATGTGACTCGGTCGAAGTGACTTTTTTGCCCCCCCCCCTGTACATTAGAGTCGTCTATTTTTCATAACAGATTAGTTTTCAATTCAGTGCAAGCGAGGGGGAGGGGAGAAACTCAGAGAAGTAGTTCAATTTCGTTTTCAAAATATGATCAAAACTTGACCGAGATCATCAAGGGGGCGCTCATAAAGGGTTAAGGGTACACTTTTTGACTCTTTGAAAAAGAGTGTTGCAGGCAAGGGTAAAAGGACATAGTTTTCGCTATTAGTCAATCCATTCTTTGGGATGCGGCACGCATTCTACTTCCATTCAGAATCGTAGTGGCTTATTGAATGCGATGTGGCCTATACAATGACTTGCGGGTCAGCCAGTGTAAAAGTCAGTGCTCTTCTCCTTCCAAATGAATCTGTTACTCCACCGTTACGTTACGTTAACCTGTTACTTCACCGTCCCCGAAGGGTAGAAGGCTTGGTTAGCTGGTGCAGGAGCCGATTTGGAGATTTGCTCCCAGACCGCGTGCGTGATAAGCTTGTCACCTGCTACTACACCACCATCGCCTCAGGCAAGGGTAACTGGAAATTGCAGGACCCACGACGATACATCGTTTCCATTCTCATCTAATGTGATTGGACTTGCGTGGAGCAGCTGTTTTTACGAGCTCTATGGCCGCTAATGGGCAGTGTTTTTTGAGCAGCAGAATTCGGTCTAGGCATCAAACATCCATATTTTTCACCGATTGTTGCTTATTTAAAGGTGCCCTAAGATTGACATTGGTTTGTGGCGCATTTCGTGTAAAGGCAAGAGGTAAGGGAGCTTCGTTTGTTGATAGGAGTTATATTTAGGGTTGAGAATGATGTAGTGAGAAGTACAATGTACTTGTTGCGGGAGCAAATCCGGTTAGATTCTCGCCCGGCCTCACCAAGCCTTCCATCACAGCGGGGTCGGTGAATCGGTACCAGATCGGTCTGGAAGGGTAGAAACATTGACTTGCACATGGCCTGGCTTTGGAAGTGATTGTACAGGCCAAATCGCTTTCTCATTACCACCACAATTCCTAATGAAGGTGGAGTGCGCGGCGCACCCCAGATATGGATTGCATAGTAGCAGAAATCCGAATCCTTGATGTGGATGATGATCTTACGTGCTAGTCTGGAGCAAAGGCAACGACAGCGGCCCCGAGGGTTGCCATGAATTGTTTTTTGCATCTCATTGGGGTAGTGAGAGGAAATCTTAATGGAAGATACGTTGTCCCGCGTTATTTCTGTGAGAAAGGTATGGGCGGCGCAGTTCGTCGACGGGGGCATTTTGTACTATCATTGCTTCCTCAGTTCCGGTTTACAAGTCTCACTCTGGCGAAACCTGTGAACTCTTGTGAAGCTGGAGCAAGCTCGTCAAGCCATCATGGTAAAACCTGTCAACTCGAGAAGAGGCTGTCTAGATGGGTCGACACGTCGATGGGAAGTAGCGAAAGTGCAAAATGCATTCTCCCTCCCCCCCCCCCCCCTCCCGCGTCGCCGAGCTGCCTGGAATGGGCTCTCTTCAGTGTGCGGCCTTTTCTGCTGTGTCAAAAAGCTAGTTCAGAAGGTTTTCCTTCTAGAAACCCCGCAGAGCACTTAATGTCAATGGGAAAATTCTTGAAAAATAAGCGAAAATCACCTCTGGTACGACCTCTTCCTCTCTCCATGCCACCTACCATCTCACTGACCTTGCTGTCGACCGGGGGAGGGGGTAGCCACTAAACAACTACTAATTTCAACAATGAGAATAGTAGTTGTATGGATCTGACCCAGGCTCACAGCCACGATCAGAGCAGGCGTACTGTAATTCCGCGGAGCAGATAGCTGTCAGTGCTTTATTATTTATGGTATATGGATGTCATATTTCCCTTCATTTTTTTTCAAATATATTTTATTTCAGGCCTTCTGGTCCGTAAATGCGAACCCCATGGATCCATCAAAACAGGCCTTCTTGATACAGCAGTCCCTGAACAAGGTAAGCTTGCCTTACATATATGAATAAAAGCAAGGAAAGCTGTTCGGATGTTATTCAAAGCTCGTCTCTGGTGCACGACTTGGGGGGGGGGGATCTTGCACACCACTATCGGGAAGCGATACAGTGATGCGATACGCCGGATGACCGATAATATTTTTCATTACTTGGAAAGATAACGCAGAGCGGTTGGTTGCAATCAGAACCACTCCTATAAAGACTGAGCAATCTACAGTCTTTCTTGGGCCGCGGATGCTGGGCATGTCAAGGGGGGGGGTACTGGATTTAGCGCCACGCCAGCCCCTTTTCCGACAATTGTGATCGCTTGCCAGCTTCCACAATTGTTGGAAAACGGGCTGTGCCGCGTCAAACTCAGGGTTCACCCCGCCCCATCCCACTTCTCCGAGGCATCACAGTATCCGCAAGACTGTACAATCGACGAAAAGCAATCAGTTGTTCATCGGTCATCAATGTTCTAGATCGATCCCTGGATATGAAGACCACTTGTAGCGATGACTAAATTGTTTCTGGTTAGTTCACAGTATCTGAATAAAAAAACAAAATTATCTGGAAAAGACGAGGAGGTGCGATGAAACTCGGTCTAGGTGAACACTTCTCGTGGAGAAGGAACTATTTTTCGGCAAACATTTGCTTCACCCATCCTTTCCAGCGCTCCTTCCTTGGGAATGGGCAGCTCTCCATTCTGTTATTATTAATAATAGTCTTCAGCATCTTCCAATGGCGCAGCTCGGTGACGGGGTGGGGCATTTTGCACTTTAATTGCTTCCTAGTTCCGGTTTACAAGTCTCACTCTGGTGAAACCTGTGAACTCTTGTGAAGCTGGAGCAAGCTCGTCAAGCCATCATAAAACCTGTCAACTCGAGAAGAGGCTGTCTAGATGGGTCGACACGTCGATGGGAAGTAGCAAAAGTGCAAAATGCCCCCACGTAGCCGAACTGCCCCTCTTCTAGGATACTGAATGCCACCTAACACCCGGAATCAGAAATCAAGCTTGTGACCGTCAAAAGTCATGTGATAAAAGCGCGTGCTAAAGTATCCAATATCAATTAATCTAGCCTTATCGATTATCCTATCGATCTTGTGTTGAATCGTATCAATAAAACCGGTATCAGGTCAACCGCTCTAACTTATTTATCTACAAAAAAACTGTATCGACACGGCTTGATACATGGTTCGTATCAGTTCCCGGCAAAGGTATACACAAATGCCCCCCCCCCAAGCCGAACAGCGCACAGCAACAGCGTAGTCACATTTGGGGAAGGAACGTGCATCAGTGAGCACTTCTCAGTTTGCTCAACTTTTATTAGGCTGTTCATACAAATTTGATGTTAGATTGTTGAACGTATAGGTTACGTTATGCCTGTAAGTTTCAGTTAGTGGGCGCCACTGGAGAACAGTTGGCGCCGGGCGCTGTTCCACAACAACCCGTTTTGGCCGCAGGGTTGGCACCGTCTGCACTCACTTCCCTACAAACTCAGCAACTGAATAACATGGTAGCTGCTATTCAGAAGGTAAACCATATTTTGCGATCAAGTTTTTGTATATATTAATATATATTTATTATTCTGAATCACAACTATGTGGCAAAATTCCTGTCGGTTATGTCTAATGGTTTTCCCAGAATGTGTATTCGGGCCCGGGTAACAATGGTTACAGGACTCTTGTCAAGGGGACATGCTCTCGCTACGAGGGTCCAGGGCTACTTCCCATCGCATCTGCTAGCTCAGCAGTTGAAGGGAGAAGTAAAAGGAACAGGGAGAGAAGGAAGGGAAGAAAAGAAGGAAGGAACAGTGAGGCTTCACGGTTGACGAGTATTCTGAGTCGGGGTAGCAGTAGTATGAGGGAAAGCGAAGTGTTAGAGATCCTTTATTTTGCTTCTAGTGTTTTGTATCTAGGGGAAGGGAAATGTTCAACCGCAGATGGGCGCTTTTAAAGGTTCCTATTTTCAAAATTAGCAGAATGAAAAATTATTGTTTTTATATCATGGTACAAGCTGATTACTTGTTTTTAGCAGGCAGCTCAGAATGCAGCGCTTATGCAGAGTATGCAGAATGTGCCGTCTACTTCTATGCAGGGACCGTCGCATCTTGCACCTTTGGATGTTGCTGGTGAGTTTGGCCTGTTTTATGTAGCGCATTTGATAAACGAAGACATCGACTCCGTAGCGCAGCGGCAGTGTGGGCCATAGTGGCTGAGTGGTCGCGGGTTCGATGCCGGCCCAGGCGCAACCTCTCCAGTAGTGTTGTGTGGATTGATCTGTTCACACAATTTGGAAGGGAGAAGGTAGATCAAATGCACTATCATAGTCCATATCGTCGTCAACAAGCGATGTGGCTTCCGCCAAGTGTACATTGCAGGGACAGACCAAGCCTAATAATTATTTCTTTTGGGTTTCGGTAACCAGACCCTTATTAGCTATCTGTGCAGAAGGATACCATCGTAAAATTTGTCATGGAAGGGGAGGGATAGGGGGATTTATCTTCTCTCTCTGACTGAATTTTAGCTTTGTCTCGCCATGGTTTTTTTTCGAAGCCCTCTAATCAACTTAATGCCATCACCCGGAAGTTGCAAAATATGAGGAAGCTTCTTATTTCGGCGATTGCACTTATTTATATCGCGAAAACATGGCGAATATTCGGCATCCAGTGTCTGCTACAGGGCATTTCATCACTGTTCACTACTTGGCCCCATTAAACGTGTCGAGTGTCTGTTGTGGAAAGCCAAGCCGATCTGTCAACTCTTGTAGATGACATACCATGAAATACCACACGAATGCCATTTACCATGGTGGATCAACGGGCTTCCTCCAGCTTCACAAGAGTTAGCAGGTTCGCCACCAGAGTGATACTTGGCTTAAAACCGGGAACTTATTGAGCAGCGGAAAGTCGCAGAAAATGTCCCCCCCCCCCTCGTGGTCGCCGAGATCATAGGTGCCGATTGATCAGAAGTTCCACTGAAAATTTCTTGAGAAAGAGAAGATCCCGTATTAGTTTGGTGAATCAGCGTAACTGGTAGCGAGCAGCCGGCGAGGCTCGAAGCGGCAGCGTCCGGGTTGCCGAATCTTAGAGTTGGTTAAAGGATCGCTTGTATTTTTCGCCATACACGAAAAGGCACTGGATCGGGCTGTACCCAGCTGGAGATACGGCTATATGCAGGAGCTGGCACTGGTCTCATGAACTTTATCGAACAAGATCGAAGACAAACGTCAGCCGTGACTGCTGCTCGACTTTCATCGGAGATTCACTTTCCAACTCAAGAATTTCTTTGAAAAGAGATTAGCACCGTTTTTTTTTTTCATTGAAATGAATTAAATATTCAAAAGAGCACTCAGAGATCCTAAAAAGTAGTTTGTGCTAGTCTGTCGGGGACTGAGGGTGATAGCGAGGGCTGAGCCTATTGTGCTGTTAGGAAAAGATAGTGCCATTGGGAGAAGGTGATCATTCAACATTTATTCATCCTTTTCAGGCAATAAAGGTCAAGTCTGAAGCCGTCATTCATTCGGTGTCAGTAGTTTTGCCTCATATCTTCTTTCCAAAATACTTCGACGGGTTACCAAAAACATTCCCGGGCTCTGCACGAAGCAATACGATTCGCATTCGGCGGCGAGAGATAGCAGGCGAGAGGTGACGTCTACAGTATTCCGCACCAGCCACCCACTTTACATCGAGATTGTAGCGTGCGCTTGACGTTCCGACCCCTATTATTCCGTATGATTCAAGTCGTTCCATGTGAGTGCGATGTTGGCGAATGGCAGAGTAACGTCTCCGCATCCAACTAAGCCCAGTGGCTTCTGCAGGGCATGCGGTTAGTTGAGCGAGATCTGGTCGTGAGAATGGTAGACACGCTCAAAGACACTCTGTACGGTAATCTTTGACATGCAATAGGTGTCCACTGGCACCGACGTGTTCTCTGCCAGTTGCTGAAGGTGGGCATTGCGGACCAACAGTTTGGTTGGCTAAAGGAAACGATAAACGTATGTGAACAGTGTTTCGCTTACTGCCAACAACTGGGGGGAGAACGCGATTTGGCTTTCGGCTTCCGAACTAATCTGCCCGCACCCGCCCCTTTGTCCACAGCCGACATTCCCCCGTCATTGAGAGATTTGCGATATTTTGTATGTATGCAGAGTGTGGCTGGGAGAAGCCAATCAAGACAGTTCGGTACATTGTTCGCGCTGTCGCATGCAGCGTATCAGGTGGCGGCTGCGCCACAATTCTCCGATGTGGCTCACATTTAGGTCGAGCAAACGATAAACTCCTACTAAGTCACTGGGAAGGATCAAGACCCATGCGTTTAGATGATATCGAGTTTGCCTATTTTCATAGCAGTAAATTTCAAGCAGCCCAGGACACGCACTTTTCGTCTGTGAGGCGCGGGCGTCCGCTCGCCACGCCCACCATCGCGGCATATAATGAGTGTCTTGTCACATATCCGTGTATGGCTACAGCAGTCACTGGTCGAGTCGCTATTGTCAGGTGTTTGGCTGTATGGCGTATGGCGTGAGTACAGCTTGCGCTTCGCGTAGGGAATGGCAAGCGCAGACTATAACTACTACAAAGCTATCGCAAGTGCTACCATCATTGGTGCACACTTCCGAGTGGCGGCAGAAACATTTCCATTGGTGCGGAACTGCTCAAGTTCTCACAGAGAAAGAGTCCAGCTTTCAGGCGTCTTCAAACTACTTTTGCCCGGTGCCGGTAATGCCAGGAAAGACTAGTGATGCTGCATTCCGTTTCTCGCATAAGTGATCGCGGCACAATGGTCAGTTTGGCTGTGAACGATTTTTTTTCGTCTGAGAACCAGAACAGTGAGCGAGCGTTGTTTCTGGAAGAACCGTAGCATTCTTCCGGTTAGAGTGACACTACCCGAGTCTTCCTAATGCTATAAGTTGGCCTTTTGTTAGTGCAAACTCCTCTGGAAGGATAAATTTTCCTGACCAATGTTGCCCATCGCAGGCCACCCTCCCATACCAGTGTTAGAACGCGACTGGTACTCATTAAGATTCCTGTAGTAGTGAATGGTGTGTAAGGCGTTGGGTACGGCTCAGAGTATTATCAACGGTGGGTACGTACCAGTATCACTTTCAACATTTCAACACCGTAGCGCTTGTGCGGGGATCCCATCTGCGCCACGGCAATAATAATTTGTATATGCACCCAAGCCATGGTATTCCAGGTTTAAATAAATTACAGCGACACTGGGAGTACTGCTGGTTAATCTATTTTCGAGTTTAATCAAGCATGTTTAGGTCCAAGCAGTTTTCAACAATGGCCATTCAAGCTAACAGTCAGTGTGCCGAAGCTTACAGTAATCTCGGAAATGTCTTCAAAGAGCGTGGAGAATTAGCTGAAGCTCTTGAAAACTATAAATACGCAGTTAGGCTAAAAGTTAGTTATGAATTCGGTACATTTTTAGTTCCTTTTTTAGGTTTTTCTTTTTGTTCAGGAAAGGGATAAAAGCTAATCTCTTAGGTTCTGAGTTACCTATTTTTAGCCTGATTTTATTGATGGGTACATTAACCTTGCCGCTGCTCTGGTTGCTGGTGGTGATCTGGATCAAGCCGTCGCAGCATATCTCAGTGCTCTAAATTACAACCCAGTCAGTTTTCATTTCTGGTCCTATATTCAGTTGAACTATAGTGACATTTTAGGAGCTATATTGTGTGCGCAGTGATTTGGGGAATTTGTTGAAAGCAATGGGTCGATTAGAAGACGCTAAGGTAACGAATTCTCTTGAAGAATCATTGTTTTTGTTTATTACGGTACGGTTATATCGATGGGATGTCGCTTTCGGCAAATAATATTTATTGTTTACCTATCTAGCTTGTTTTATATGAGGTGTATAATTTCTTGAGATTCAGATATGTTATTTGAAAGCAATCGAAACACAACCACAATTCGCTGTGGCATGGTCGAATCTCGGTTGCGTGTTCAATGCTCAGGGTGAAATCTGGTTGGCTATCCATCATTTTGAAAAGGTATGATTGCAGAATCATTCAACTTATAGAAGAGCACCATCAGAGCATGAGCTCATTTTGCTTCAACCCGGGGATGGTCAGAGGATATGTAGTGCTGGTATCACTAACCATGGACACGTAGTACAGCATCGTGATGTATTAAATGACAGTATCAAACATCCCCCTTCCCACTAGATTTCTTCGCTGCCCTATTCCACCTACCTTCTTCTGAGTCGAACCTTCCATGGCTCTTCTTCCAGTTTTCCAAATAATTTCCAAGTTTTCACCAAAAGCTGCATCGAAGCAGGAGGAGAGGGAGAGCGGCGTTGTCACCAACCAATGCTAAATTTAGCTATCAGAAATTATTGCGCGATGGTTCTGCTGCTCCGACAACTGAAAGGAACGAGAAGAACCTCGAAAAGTCAACGATTGAAAGAAAGAATAAGAAAGAAATAAGAGAAATAGTTTTCGCAGCGTAGAAATATTTTTCGAAAGCAAATACGAAAGCTCTCCCCAGGGACTGAGTACGACTCCCCTAATGAGATTTATCACAATGGTACACCCTGCCTAGGGTTACTGTTGTTGGTGCATGGGAAGAGGCACCCAGGCTGGTAAAAGCGCTCTACGCCATGAGCGCCTCGCGAATTCTGGTCCACCGTGCTTCTCCGATTCTGAGGTTGGGAAGGAGAAGTTATCGTTGTCTTGCTGGGAGAGCATGGAAAAGCGCTTCTACTCACGCTGCCGCTAGACCCTTTCAAACAGTTGTAGTGCCCAAATATTATGCTCTGATATGGGGTGATTTCCCAGATTAGTATCTCGTATTGGCCTCTTTCAGGCTGTTCAACTAGACCCCAACTTTCTGGATGCCTACATCAATCTTGGAAATGTACTGAAGGAAGCTCGGATTTTCGACAGGTATTTAGTTGAAAGTGCTTAGTGAAGTTGTTTGTGTGAATCCATTAGTATAGTAGTAAGCTTCAATTACAACAGAGCTGTTGCTGCGTATCTTCGCGCTCTTAATTTGGCTTCCAATCACGCAGTTGTTCACGGAAATCTGGCCTGTGTCTATTATGAACAAGGGTTAGTTTATATCTGTGTTGTAGCGGTTGCTACCACCTTCATAAGTGGTTTCCTTTTGCAGATTGATTGACTTTGGCGATTGATACATACCGTCGGGCCATAGAGCTACAACCGAATTTCCCGGATGCGTATTGTAATCTGGCAAACGCACTGAAGGAAAAAGGTCTTGTACAAGAGGCAGAAAATGCTTATATGACTGCATTGGGAGTAAGTGTGCTTCGATATACTGAACCTTCCAATATGTCTTTCCCACTTACTCCGTAAATTTCCATCTTTCCAGCTATGCCCAACGCATGCCGATTCCCAGAACAATTTGGCTAACATCAAGCGTGAACAGGGGAAAATTGAAGAGGCTACGCGTCTTTATCTGAAAGCACTTGAGGTACATCTGCTTCTTTTCTCTGTTTCTCAATGACATGGAGCTCCTTTTGTGCGACATTTTTCCTTGTCAACTCTGTCTTTCTTTCTCTCTCGATCCCTGAGTTGCGGGGTGGCCTCACCTTCAAGACCAATTCTGGCACTCAATTTCCAATTCTTCAACAACAGGGTAAACTTCAAGAGGCCATATTGCATTACAAGGTTAGTGCCACTTGGTTCTCATTAACCTCTTGTTTTTCTGTATGCAGTATGTGTATCAAGAAGGTACAGTCTTGTTCGCTGCGGATGATGGGGCGTGTCAGTGAGGCTGAGTTTGGCGCGCCGCCAACCCGTTCTGCACGAATTGCTGAAGCGGATAAACGGCATAAGTTGTAGGAAAACGACTGATATGAACAATGTGGTACAGTCTAGTCACTGTGGTCGCTTCCGTAAAAAAAGCGAGTTGGCGCCGCGCCAAATTCCTTCCCCCTTGGCACGCTCTATCATCCGCAGCGAACGAAACTGTAGGCAGCAGATCGGTAGACATACGTGAGGAAATACCGAATACAAAAATAAAATAAATAATGAGGGAGCTTGTTGGTGGCGGGCGGTTTCGCTGTAATTGGTGTTTTCTTTCACTCACAGCAGACGGTTACTGTTTTCTAAGAACGGTCTTCAGGAGCATGTGAAAAATCAAAATTTGAGACATTTTGAAAGATCTCCTTTTTTATTACTGGTGAACTGACCGTTAGATAATCAGATCTTCTGTTATTCAGTTGCCTTCGTTTTTTTTGGACTGTGTCTTCCAAAAATGCGAGGGCGCATAGCTCTTCAGCGTACTGTGCTAGAATGACGGGTCCGATTCCAGGAAGCGATCCGAATTGCTCCGACCTTTGCCGATGCCTACTCGAACATGGGTAATACTCTGAAGGAAATGGGTGATGCAGCAAATGCAATGCAGTGCTATACTCGTGCCATACAAATCAATCCTGCTTTCGCTGATGCTCATTCAAACCTCGCTAGTATACACAAAGTAAGTACTTGGCAGTTGAAAACCCATTTTCCACAGCCGTCATCATGCCCGCTGTTAAGGACTCTGGTAACATTCCTGACGCTATCCAAAGTTACTCGACTGCTCTGAAGCTGAAACCAGACTTTCCCGATGCGTTCTGTAATCTTGCGCACTGTCTCCAGATCATATGCGATTGGACGGACTACGAAAATCGGTAAGAATGACTGGCGATGCAGTTTGCCTTGGAGGGGCATTTTGTTAGTTCGTGTCTGTGTTGTACCTGTGAGCTTCCGTGAAGCTAATACAAACATTACAAATAGGCTAATAGCATTTAGTTAGTTTAAAAGAGTTTACACAGCTCATCAAAGTAGCTCGGCGAAGCTTGTTCCGTTTCGCAGCTTCACAAGGGTT